TTTCAAGTAATGTAGATGTGTTTGTTTTGTCTCATGTTTCCAAGAGACAGCCTGAGGTAAAATCGAGAGGCAGAATAATCCTTCAAAAAAATTAATGATCAAATTAGCAATAAATTTCCATTAACTACTAGCTTTTCCAGGCCCCTATTGCTGGTTAATTTTTTTGTTTCTTCACAAGCATGTACATAAAGTAATGTTTATGGAAAGGAATCACATACATATTGTTCTGCTGGATACTTCTCAGTATTCCAGTAGTACCGCTTCACATAATACACCTATTTTTGAGTGTCTCTAAGTCCAAATAAAGGAGAAACAGTCACAGTTTTTAAGTCAAGCAATAAAACAACTGTCATTAGTAAATTTGAAAGTGAGCCATGTTTCTCAGGGCAAAGAATCTTCTGGAGTATTCAATTTGTCCAGCATATTGCTTTTGAAATACTTTGGCTGTATGCCATAGGATGTCCAAAGATGTTTTATGGTACAAATATCTTAATTCTTTAAGGGCAATAAGTGATTTTTTTCCCCCCGAGTTGAAGGAAGAAAGTTAAAAGCAAGCTTATTTTCATTTATCTTTGCTAATACATGGTAGAGTCTTTATTTGCCGGTTATCCTCCCAAGGTGGTTCATAATCTGTGTTTGATCAGAGACCCCTTTCAGAATCCAGTAAAAGCTCTGAGCCTTCTCTGCAAGAAAAATGCCTGTGTAGTCCAGTTTTCATGCTGTCTCATAGTGTTCCCAGAGCCAAAGCTTATTCATAGACCCTGGCGAAGAAACTGTTACATCTTATAATTCTAGAGATACTATTGGTGATAAAGATCTTACCTTTTAATTTACATACACTACACGTTCTATAGTTTTATTTTACTTATGCATTTGTAACACATAGCTCAAACTTCTTCAATGCATGTTTAATTATTTCTTCTTTACTAAGAAAGGCATTATACTCTATTAAGAGATAATATCAAATTACCATGCACTATACCTGTGTAAAACATCTCATACCCTTGAATAGAACTCACAGAAGAAAAATCAACAAGGTTGTGTACTCAATATCGTATTGCTAGATGAATATCCAGCCAATAAATATGTGACTGTAGTAGGATTATTGATTATAGAAAAAATAATTTTAGTAAGAGCCATGAGTGAGATCATGAATTTGGGGTCTCAGTAATTTTTTTTAATTTAAGATTTTATTTATTTATTTGACAGAGAGAGATATAGCGAGAGAGGAACACAAGCGGGGGAGTGGGAGAGGGAGAAGCAGGCTTCCCGCCGAGCAGGGAGCCCGATGTGGGACTCGATCCCAGGACCCTGGGATCGTGACCCGAGCCGAAGGCAGACGCTTAACGACTAAGCCACCCAGGCGCCCCGGGTCTCAGTAATTTCTTATTTGTTCTATTTTTATCTTCATTATAGTAGAGAACTAACTGTGACAAGACCTAATAGAACATGCAGGGTCACTTTGATGAGGTTGACCTCAGGTGATACAATTCATGTCATGAAGCTTTTTGTAGCTACTTCTCCCAGTGGTTCTGTCATTTCCTAAATAAATAATTTAATTATACCAGATTTATTTGTCACCTTAGAAATTTTTCCCTGAAGGAATTAAAAGGGTACTTTTAAATAACTGTGATTGCACTCGAGCCTCTTAAACAGTAGTGCTGAAAGGGAATGACAGAGCAGTACAAAGCCCTCTGTCCCCCACATGAAGGGACTCTGCCCCACAAGGCCCTTGTCATGCTCAGAAATATTCCTTCATTCTGTAGATGGCCTTCCTAGAAGTTCAGCTTTTAGAAAAAAGTTATCAAGTTTCGGAATCATGAATTTTCTGCCTTGCCTTAAGCTCCCAAGTCCAAGGAAAGAGAGGAAGACCTGGATTGCCTGCCTATTTGCAGCATCTTAATTTTCTTAGAGTGGCGTGCTCAGCAGTATTTGAATTGGATGAAGGAAACGATAGAAAAACTTTGCAGTCCTCACATCTAGATCATGAGATGCCAGGGCCTTCTGTTACCTTATTTGACATCTGTGATTTTATGACTCTTGCAAGTTCCAGTTCCTTGGAGATGCTTGAAGCTGCAGCTTATTTATACAGTTCAAGGGTGGGTTCAGCCTCGCGTGTCATGCGGCTATTCTCAAGAATAAATGTGCTTTTAAAATTTCAAAATAATCTTCCTTCTTGTATATTTGATAAATCTAAAAATTGGTTTTAAAACTGTCTTACTAATAACATGATTTACTTTCTGTAGATTCGTTATATTCACTTCCTATTGCTTTTTATTTTATAGTGCCGCCTAAAACATTCCTAGCTTTACTGCTGTCTTGACTTTGTATCTGGTAATTAATGATCTGTAAGTTAACATTCAATCACTAGAGCCCCGTAGAGAAAGGAAATGTGCATTGTAATTCTTTGGTAAAGTGGAAAACCGTTTTTCACAGGTGCCTTGGTACATCACGGGCAGCGTTCATTCCAATTGGCCAATGCTTCTGCAGTACCTGTTGTTCAATATTTTGAATATCACTCTGCCTAGAAATACATTTTTCCTGGGTAAAGTAACAGCTTTTCTTTTTTTTTTTTTTT